AGCACAATGAACAATACACAATGCGCACATATAACATTTTCTCAAGTTCCAAACACCTCAGAAAAATCTAACTGTGAGGAGAGGTTTGGAATTCTGATTTCGACACTCCCAAAAGCTGTCATGAAAGTCTGATGACAATTTTGGGATGGAAAACATAGGAACGAGGAGCACATGATAAGGTAAACAATAATTATGAAGATCAAAACTGAATCAAACGAAAGCATGAGCACACCTGAATGTTCACGTTGTAGCTAAAGTCAGGATTTCTAAATACTCGTGGGACTTTGAGGTTCTCATGGCTTTTCGGAAGCAGATAAGGATAATTGGTGTCATCCTCAAATAAGCAAGTAGAAGAGAATTAAAAAAAGACTTTTATGCTTACCTTGCACTTCTCCGTTTTCGTTGCATTCCACCGTTGTATAAAATGCCTGGCGACATCCCTAGCTGCATCGCCAAAGGTCACAGAATGAATGTCATGCCATGGCATTCGTGGAGTTGTTCCTCGGTCAATGAAGTCTAGGTACAAATCAATAAGAAAACTTGAACCCAGGTCGACTACAGAAAGTTTACCATGGAAGGGTAAATCAACATCAATGAAATCCTTGCGGACGTAGTTGACGTAGTCTTTGCCTATCCATAGCTTAAAACCGCCATCTACGGTATCTTTATCTTCTGTGTCCATCTCTTTCAGACGAAGAAAATCTAGTTCGTAGCCTGCCATGACTTCATCAGAATCCAGCACCTAAAACTCATTTGGTTGAAAGAAGCTTGATCCGCTACATTTGAGATTAATTCCGGTGCAGAAAGGAAAATAGCTGGAGCAGAAACAATCAAAATTCACTATTAGACCGAACTTTCCAAACGAAAAGTTGACTTTGAAAACTGATTCCATCGAAAAAAAATGAAAAAAAGCTCTTCCTATGGTAGCATACGAAATTATGTCGGAAGATGAATTGTTGAATGTTGAATGAAGACTTCATCAAACGACCACTACGTAATAGGTACCTGTTTCCACTTTCGCTTTGCTCGATTACTTCTCCAGTTCTCTACAGCTCGAGTCAATCTGCTTTCTTTCCTCTTCATAGGCGGTGTTTGCGAGCGATGTTTCTCCTAATTTGTAACAAAAGTGAAATAAACAGTAATTTGAGAAGGAAAATGCTTACCTTTTGCACAGCGCCACTCTCAACATACTCCTTGTACTTTTCAGCAGCTGTCTGGTAATCCATACCCAGCTTTGTTGCTTTCTCGAACATGGATGGTGCAGGTCCCGCTTTATCGAGCATGTCAAGTGGAACTTTTCGAGTAGCGGATGATGCAGCTCTACGAACATGCTAAACAGAATTTCCTTTAGGCATGCAAAGGCTGATGGTAAAACAAACCTTTTTTCCTTTCGCATCTTCAACCACAGTCAAGAAACTTGGCTTTTTTCCAGCTGCTGCCGCAATTCTAGAGGCGGTACCTGTCGGCGAAGGCGAAGGCCTCGGCGAAGGTGAAGGTCTATCGCTAGCATACGATGGGGATCTCTGAGGAGAATCCGCAGAGACAGAGCGGGTTCCTACAATTAATATAAATAAAAAAGTTCTACAACGATTCAAACAGAGATGAGAGATGAACTCGGGGAGTTGGACAAGGTAAACATATTCCATATTTATCCACTTCATGCGCTTCGAAACAAAACCGCTTAGTGATTTGTCACTTGTACCGATGGATGAAGTGGACAAGTATGGTGTGGGCCACAAAAAATTTGAACCCGGAACTTCCGAGAACTACATATATCAGAAACTGGAACTTCTGTACAACAAAATTCGACAATTTGAACCGAAAACAAGAAAATTTACCTTTCTTGCT